CTCAAAATAAACGTGAGCCCTTACCACAATGGTAAGACTCTTACAATCCATCTTTGAATCTAAGGGTGACACTACAAGTGACACTAACAATGCAATGCTCTCTCTACCCGAAGCATCTATCAATCGACTTAATCCCAAAAGCATTATCGCGCAAGGAGAACTCAAAGAAAATGACAACTATAGCCATACCAACAACAACCAAATCAATCACCACGAATGATCTCCAAAACAACCATCATCATCACCGATCAAAGGACAACGCCTATCAAAACAAAACCAACACTAATTCCATCCGAACTGCACTTGTAGCTAGCCAGCACGGTAGCATGACAGTGCCATGCACCTGCCCACAAACGTACCCGCCCACGAAAAATGCAAGTTCTAGATGAATATTCCTGGACAATCAAGGATCCTAAGAGGTCCATAACCTCATAATGGCCCAAAACCAATAAATCCACCATTACGGTAACGCCAAATGACTCATCTCACAAGAGCTTAAACAAAAGGTAATCGTTCACCTACCTCAAAACCAATACTAGGTCGACAACAACCTATACTACCATGAAACTCTGACTACAATCCCCATCAACCTCAACTCATGCCTTAATGACCAATCCCATATCATGCCAAATATGCAACACAATTATGCATATACAATTCTAATCTAGCATACGTCACATGTCATGCTCTTTACATTACAATAAAACAATGCTAAACAAACGGCATACAACATGTAGCACGTAAGCACATAAACATGTTATCAACCAAAACATGTTATCACAAAGCATATAAACACATAGAGTATGGCAACAAAAGCATGATATGCACCCAAAACCCGCCGTCCTGAGGTTTTCGAACCTAGGAGCTCTGATACCACCTATGATGACCCTAGATTTTTCAACCCAGTGTGTCTTGTGATGAACCAAAAGAATAACCCGATAACGAATCCGAAATGCGGAAACGAAGGAAACTAAGTGGCCACTAGAGATGTACGTCATCCCTACGGCATCAAAATGACTCCCCATGGCATGATCAAATTGCATTATATGCTATTGTGTGATGATGTGAACATACACGCAAGTGTAAAATGGTATTTTAAACATACTACAATGGCCCATGGCCTTATTACAACTCATTTACAACATTTGACATGTCAGACCTCCAAGTTAGAAAAATTACATTTCATAGACAAATCATGAACATGCTAACATTTGCATGTGAATAAGAATGTTTCTAAAGAAGCTCAACTCAGCAAATCACCCAAGCAATTGTAATCTCCAATCTTGTATCCTGTACCTGAAATATGCCCCAGTATCGTAGGGGTGAGTAACATAAAGCTACTCGTAGGAAATGAGCATGCATCGACCTACGTTTTACAAGTGTACATGATTTAATCATTGTGGTTCATTCCACCTAACGTCTATGTCAAAGGTGAGACTCAGGAAGCATCCTAGCTACCTAAGATCATTTCTAGCATAAAACACATCATTTATACAATTTCAACAACACAAGAGCATGCTACACATAGCAACAAGATATAACATGCTTATATAAAGCAACTAGTTAGAAACATGCTTACACAAAGCAACCAGATAGAAACATGCTTACACAAAGCAACTAGATATAGATTCTCAAAGTTATCAACTTGAAATCTTAAATTAACTAAATATAGCAATTTAGTATGGATGTACTTAACAACATCAAATCGCCAATAGCCAAGACCACAGTCACAATATAAACATGATTGATAACTTAGAATTGAATGCGAAAACAAATAGTGGAAGACTTGGACATCACGTCTCGGACTAAACCAAGAACAAATTGGTTATTCCGGGCATTAACCCACTGGGAAGACCACCCTAGTGCGCACTATCTTAATTGGGGAGAACTCATACCTCCCGCACTAAAGCCGAACTTTAGCCATATCACAGTAACAATGTCCCAAGACTCCAAAATAATCAAATAAGTTCACAACTTATACGTAATTTATATAATGCACTAAGTCACCTTCCATGCACAAGTAGATTGTATCCACACAACACATACTCTAAATCCACAACTACTATAGGATGACAATGTCGAATCTTCAAAGTGCGATTCGTTACATGCTATAACAATATAATCCAATATTGAAAACATAAACTCATAAATTCATTATAAGTCAAAAGTCATTCTTTAAACATACTATCAATGTCAAATACATGAGTTAATCAATAATACCATAGAAACGGAATTTAATTAGTAATCTATAAACTAATTAAATTCCCTAGGTTTCAAATCTCAATCAAATGGCCTCCAATTAATACATGATAAACAATATAGCATAGTCATTACATACACCACATCAAAACTCGATTAGGCCATAAGAACAATAAAGTGGAATTTAATTAAATTATGATAATCAAATTCCAAACTTCTAAAACAACATCAAATGGTTCCAAATTAACATATGCTAGAATATAAGTCATAGTTATCACAAATATCAAGTTAAACACTTAATTAGGCCAATGAAACCCTTAAATAGATTTTAATTAATTATTTTAATTAAAATCTCTAGATTTTCATACTTGTCCAAATGCTCTCAAATTAAAGTATGTTAAACAACATGCCAAGACAGAATTTAAAAGCATATCACAAGTCAATTTCATGCAAGGTACGGCCATGGGATTTAATCTTTCACAAAAGATAAATATTAAATAAAATATGCAATTTTTATTCAATTAATACCAATTTAATATATGTTAACAAACATATTAAAACATGATTTTTGAGTATGCCACAATTCAAATCAAAGTTATATATCATCATGAATTTTAAATCTTATACAAAGAAATAAAAATCACTAACTTTCTAAATTTGATACAAGGCATACATATAAGTTGTATAATCATGAGAAACACTCAATACAACACATATAAATCCTAAAACATTTCCTACCTCAGTTGTAATGAAAATCCCAATTACCACCGAAATGAAATCGCCCTAAATTTTTGGTTCGCAAGATAGATATTTCAGCTTGTTACCTTCAACTTGGGAAATTCATAAAAAATTCAATTCTAATCCAAATTGAATGAATCCAAAGCCCAATGAAAGCTTAAACACTGTAATTTGATAATATCAATTTAGTTTAACAAAATATTTTCCCAATTGAAATAGTTTTGACCCACAACTTTGAAACAAATTCTGTCCAGAAAACACATTTTTAGCCTGTAGCTTCCAACTTTGAAAATTCATGAAAAATTCATTTCACATCCAAATTGGGCAAACCTAATTTATTTTGGAAGTAAACATATGAGAGTATAAAACTGAAAATTTAACCCATGATCCAATGTCAAAAGGTTAGTGAAATAAATCATCTAAAATTATGTTTTCCAGCTGTAATAAAAACATGGACAGCAGATAGTCTCGGATTTTTAAAAAAATTTAGAAATGCTCTAAAATCATGAAAAAATTCTGAGTAGTGTAAAATCCACGAGGAAAGTTCCAGTAAAAATTTCAAGGTAATTGAAATACCACAACTCTATATAAAAATTTGTTTCCGGACTGGATAAGAAAAGATTTAAATTTCCAGCAACTAGCTTGCAACTTCAAAAATTCATAACTAATTCAATTTAAATCCAAATTACATGAAACCAAAATTAAATGGAAGCTAATTGATTATATTTTCATGTTATATATTTAATTTGACAAGATTTATTTCAGATTAAAACAGTTTAAGGGCAGAATACAAGTCATTCTCTTCTATGCATGTAAAACACTCAATAATGACATAAAAATACTTCAAAATAATAGATCAATACCTCACTAGAGAATTGAATCTCAAGATACCAAAGCCAAACTAGGAGTTAGGCTAGATACTTTAAGGGTTTTGAAGAGGAGGATGAGGGGAGCAAAAAGTATTCCAAGCTTTATGGCCTAAAGTAAGTGGAAGGGTCTCAAAGATTAAGGTCAATGCCTAAATCTTCAAGCTTCATCCATAGAGGCTAGGGTTTTGTGGTGAGAAAGAAAGAGATGAAATGTGAAAATGTGTGAGTGGAGGAAATAGAAATCCTCCACTCACTATGTGATCCTACACCATGGTCAACACACATATCTATGGTCAATTGCACAAAAACCCTCTTTTAAAACCATAATCTCAAAGTGACCCAAAGATATTTACAAGACTAAATTGTGAACCTACACTTGTCACCAATCTATGGCTCGTTCCTAGGCTTAATCCCACACCTACACTTGTCAACCATCCAAGGCAACAAGTGCACCAATCCTAGGCCAACAAGTGGGTGAATCCTCACCCTCCAAATGTCATCATCCAATGCATCAAAGTGTTTTCACACAAATGTCAACAAGTGGACCAATGAGAGTGTGACACTTGTCACACTTTTCAAAAATTGCAAAAAGGTCCTTTTTGAAAATATCTTCCAAATTTAATTGCAAAATGGTCCCCAAGATGAAAAATAATTACTTTATTTAATTACACTAAAACCCCACAAGTTAAGAAGAATTACACTAAAGTATGCATTAATGCCCTTTTATGAAGGAAGTAAGTAATCAACATGCTTTTCTAGAAAAGTAAAAATACCACTATCATGGAAATCAAATATCATGAATGCATGCAAAATCGGAATCAAATCCGAGCACAAAAAGTGAGGTTGTGAAAGGAAAAAGGATAAACGAGAAAAAGACAAAATGTGAATAGTCTTCGGAAAAATAAAATATGAAAATGACACAATCCCCAAAGGAAGTTGTCAATCCAAGGAAAAGAGTCTCGGAAATCATTCCAGAGCACTCGAGACGATATCAAGTAATGAAAAATCGAACCCAAAAAGGAAAAGACAACAGAAAAAAATTATCCGTGAAAATCCGGGTTATTACATCAGCCACTGCTTGAAATGATTTCCTTTATTGTGGGCGACTTCCCTTATCTCAAGTGGGAGGTTTCCCATTCAATCTCCAATAGGTTTGTCTCGTATGCCTTGGTTTGTTACAAAATCACACCACTTTTAGTCGGTTTCTCCCTTTTTATTAGGATTTTTATACAGTCCAGCATTGAACAGAACTCCTTCGGTTTTGAGGACAGAGACTTCGAAAATAACAGTTTTAGAGAGAACTGCTTTCCGATCTTCTTCATTACTCACATACGATAAACTTTCCTCCAAAGAGCAAAGAGGCTCCTTTCCAAGAATCCTCCCACTGACTTCGACAAAATCTGAGTTGAGTCCAGCAAGGAATTCAAAAGCACGATCCTCCTCCAAGATCTCAACAAGTTGTTTAGCGACTTCAGTGTCCTTGATCTCAAAGCGTTGGTGAAGATTTAGCTCCTGCCATAACACCATAAGAGTATTAAAATACTCTGTCACGGAGGAGTTTCCCTGCTTGATGCTTTGAATTTTCCTTTTTAGCTCAAACTTTCGTGGAGCCCTTCCCTTCTTAGAATAGCTCCGAGTCACACTGTCCCATATTTCTTTTGCAGTGGAAAGGAAGAGAAATGGTTTACTAATTCCTGGAGTCATGTAATTAATTAATCATGTTATGATTTGGGAATTTTTCGCTTCCTAGGAATCATAAGAAGGATCGGATTCTTTGGGTTATTTAATGGTCCTTCAAAGGTACCCTATTTTTCCTCTACTTTTGAAGAAAAGCTACACTGATTCGGACCACTCAAGGAAATTTTTTCCATTGAGTTTCTCATGAGTAATTTGAAGGGTTGGGTTATCAAAGTAAATCACTGGTTTTGTCACAACCGGAGCTGGAGTTTCTGCCATTTAAGAAGAAAAGAAAGAAAGAAAAACTATAGAAGAGAGCAGCCACAAAGAGGCACAAAGGCTGGGCTGGAAGAGAGAAAAAAAAGGCACAAAAAGTCAGATTCAACAACCTTGCTCTGATACCGTATTTGCGGAAAAGAAAAAACAAGATGAAAAATAATATGTGTATATCTATTTAGAGGATAGGATACAACCTATTTATAACATACTCTTAAACAGCTAGCTATACAAGTCAATGACAACTATATAATTGTGATACCCCTTGGATTCAAGACACGGGTTGATCAGGCCCAGGCCCAAACCCGAGGGAATATCAAACAATTAAAATTTTAAAAACGAACACAGATGACAAAATGAAATAAGAATAAATATTAAAAACTGAAAGAAACTAAAATAAAATCCTTTTAAGATAAATACTTAAATCCCAATAATCCAAAACCTCCAATAGATTAAACAACTCGAGAATCCATCTCTAGTGGACCCCTAATAGAAATCCAAACTAAAAAAAAACAACTGAAAGAACATCCTGATAAAAGCTATGGAGAGAAGTCCTACGTCGTCGGTAGAGTGAGTAGAAACCTCTGCTCAGCACGAATACGTCTAAGTCTGGAACTGTCGTATACCTGAAAAATAGAAGTGGGTCAGACCCATGCGCAAGTTCTATACTACTACAATCCAAACAGAGGCCCGATACGCATGTACATCCTAAACAATTCAACAATAGCTAATAGTCCGTAAATATATATATAGTCACTAAAGGACTCTCACTGGACTACAGGTCGGTCTCAACCTGAATAGAGTTAACATGCTAAAACGCACACGAAGTGGGCATGTGTACGTAAGCCTAAACAGGGTACACCTCCAACCATCGTATCCAGCTATGCATCCCAATGCATATACGCTCCCTAACCATCGATCCTGAGACTCAAGCTCATATCGAGGTACCATAACAATATATATAAAATCCGTCCAGAATCTCTAGTAATGCCGCTCAACTAGTAGTTGCCATGACACTACAATTTAATAGGGCTTAACTTTTAGTTAATCCATTCCTAAATCCAGAGTAGGTAGGCTTTGGTATTTTGAATCCAAACCGTCCCTAGTATGCCATCGTCCCATACCGGTGTATACTCCAACCATCCAGCAGTTGATAATACAGATGACTAAAGCAAATATCAACAAAATCCATACATCTAACAATTGATACCAATAGTAGTAATGTAAGCATCGATAAATAGAGTAAAGATATATACATAAACATGCTCAGTACATGCAGTTCTATAAAATCCGGTATACTATTAAATTTAAATCTTAATAGCTTTCAACAGCCAGCAGTTGATATTACAGATATTAAAATAAATATCAACTAAGTTCATACCTCCAACAATTGATACTAACTGTAATCATGAAAACATCAAAAACATAATTACAGTATGTATATAGACATACTTAATCTATAGTGTTTCCCAGAATCCAGTAATGCTAAGTTGGTTTAACTTTTAATATCATTCAACACCAACTCATTCAAAACAGTTATAATTTAGATACATGATCATGATATAAATTTAAACATGTTACAATTATATCATCCGTCTCAGAAGATTACTAATGCAGAGAGAGTTAAACATTACTAGCTTTCCAAATTTAAACGCAGTGTAACTGTCTGATTAAGTCCTTACTGTCCAAACTATTCTAAGCACATAGACTTAATTAACACCACATCTGGATCCTTAATCTAACCATTTACATCAATTAGACCTTCCATATTAAATCCCGAATTCAATTGGAAACTCCAAAATCAACCATTGTATGCAAAAACTGACTGGAAACGAAGAAAAAATCAAAATTCACCAAGGAGACGTCTCCCAAAATGTGGAGTTGCCTCCTTTAGGCCTTGGAGCCGGCTCCTACACTTGGGAGCCGCCTCTAACTCCAAGGGAGCCGGCTCTCTCCCTCTCCACCTCATCTTTTCATCTTTCCTCTTCTTCAGATGTCTTCTGCACCTTCTCTACCCTACTCCTATGGTTCCCAGAGGTTGGAACCAATCCTAGAATGTTCCCAGTCCATGTTTAAGGCTTAATTACATTACATACATAGGTTTAAACAGAGAATTATACGAGCAATTATCACCGTTCTAACAGTTTTAACAAACATACAAACATACTGAGATATACTTCAATGTTTAACACAAGCAGATAATCTTTTTATCATTCAATTAATCCTAGAACTGTTAAGAATGCAAAGAACACGAAGCCTAAGGGAGAGATTAAGGATAGAACTTGCCTTACACCGACGTCCGTATCACTTCTCCGGCGAATCCTTTGTTTGCTCTCTGTTTTCTTCCTAGCCGTTTCCAAAACTTCTCTTAACCTTACTATGTCGTAGTATTATGCTAAAACCCTAGGCAGACACCTTAGGTGTGTATTTATAGGCCACCCTAATCTTAGGCTCTCTTAAACCCTAATTTGATTTACTCGGCCCATAGAGAAATCTAGGTTATATTCAAAGTCGGTTGCCAATGTAAACTATAAACCTAATGAAAAGTTACACACAGTCACGTTGAAAAATAATTAACGAATTAACTTTAACTAATCAAGTCCATTTAAACAATTAAATTGAACAGTTAAACCATTAAATTTAAGTAAATTAATTCAATTAAAACAACCAAAATAATTAACTATAATTAACTCAATTAAATTAGAACAATTAAATAAGTAAATTCAATTAAATCACAACAATGAAAACCACTAAATAATTAACCACAATTAAAGCAATAAAATTACCCAAATGCACGTCAATAATTAAAAATGCAAAGTAAACAATTAAATTAAATACCAGGACTATCCTTTTGAAATTAGGGGTATTATAACAATCCTGAATTAATTTCTAGAGATCCTACCTACCACATAAAATAAGAAAACTAATTAACTAATTAAAAGATACAAACAAATAGTCAATACACGGTAACTACAGCTCAGCAATACAGCTGTAATGCCAATTAGTGAATAATTTTACTGTAATTCTAACATATAGAATGTATGGATGTTATTTTGTGGTCGTTTTATGTTAAATGCATGTTCTCAGGGCAGGATTACTTCATATTGAAGTTCACAAATGAACCAATGAGGTTGCCAATGACTTAGACACACAAATTGGCCTTAGAGGCATTCTCAGCAGAGAACCAGTTGACGTGTGGTAACCCAGACGTCGACCGGTATCTTATTTTTTTAGGCAGTAGCAAATTTCACTGTGCAGGGACAAACCAGTCGAAGTCTGAGGATTAGACGTCGACCGAGTTGCCTTACTCGGTCGATGTGTAGCTTGCACACGTCAACCGAGTTCTGTACCTTCCATATTTCTCTTATTTTCCTATTTTACCGAGTCTCAACCTATTCAATGAATGTTATTGTGTACTGTGAGGACTAGTAAGGTGTATTGATTACATTTTGACCTTAGAAATGACTGCGTTGCCCTTTGATGACCTCGGGTTCAGTTAAGGACCCGGATAATGATTCGAACTCCTGGCTTCGGGTCATTACAGTGGATCTCGAGCACAGATTATGTAACGACCCGGTCATTTGCCTTCCTTTCCTTTTTCCTGAAATTTTATGAATGAATTTTTTTCGTTTAAATTTCTTTTCTGAGCTCTGTTTCGTGTCGCTTAGTGTCATCTCGAGTGCTCAGAATTGGTTCTTGAGACTCTTTTTCGTGGATTGACAACTTCCTTTGAGGACCGAGTCATTTTCACATTTTTCGTTTTTCGACACTATGCACTATTTCATCATTTTCCCTATTCTGTCTTATCTCTGTTTGTCAGTTTTTGGCACAACCTCACTTCTCATGCTCGGAGTTGGTTTTTGACTTCACGTGTCTTCATCTTGAGTGGTTTCCACGAAATACGTATCTTTACTTTTGTAAGAAAATACTTTGGTTGCTACCGGTGTCTATAGGGGCATGGATGCAAAGTTCTTTGAAATGATTTTCTTTTCTTGGGGTGTTTTTCATAAATATCTTTCGAAGATATTTTATTTTAGGGGCTTTTAAGAAAATATTTTTGGAAGATATTTTCATTCTGGGCCATGAGTGCAGTTTTCACTTTTTAGAGGGGCCATTGTGCAATTAATGAAAGTTATTGCAAAATGTCTTGTTTTGAGCCTGGATCCTCGTACGGGATTCATTTTCACATTTCATCGAGTTGTGTACTCTTGGAATTTCCTCCTGGTCGATGTTTTCTAGTTTCAGGGTTTCTAGCCCCAGTTTTCGCCAAACTTGTTTTGGGCATAACTTTCTGCTCGGGACTCAGTTTTTGATGCCGTTTCCTCCGTTGTTCATATTTTATCATTTTGAATCTTTTTTATTTACAAAGTTTTGCCATTTGAGCGAGTCTGCTCAAATATTACTTTTTCGGATCCGACGGGGCCCGTTCGGGGCACTTTTGAGATTTCTATAAAAGGGGGGTGAGATATTTCATTTTTGATCTTCTCCCCTCTTCATGCACGACCTGGAGCTCCCATGGCAGCACCGCCCAAGGGGTGCTGCCATCTTCTCTCTCCTCTTTTGGTTCACTTTTCCTTGATGGAAAGTCTTCGGCCTTAACGTTTGTTGTTCCCCTCACCGTGCTCTACCTTTCCCCCTTATTAGAATTCAGTTTTGACCATTTCTTGAGTTTGGTTTTGAGGTCAAGTTATGATTTTGATGGGGCTTTAATGGGGGTTATGTTCACGGTGTTGTCCCCGACAAAACCTCTC